ATAATAATTTCTTTTTTATATCCCTATTTAATATGCTTTTTACTATTTTTCACTTGATCTTAGCCAAAAGGCTGAGAAGTGACTGCTTTTTACTATTTTTCATTCTAAAACTACTTTAACTTTTTTGTTAAAAACTAAGACAAAAACAGAGACATTAGCCTAGGCCTGCACAGGATCAGGATCAACAATATCACTGTCTTCCACCTCCACATCTTATTCCCCTGGAAGGTTTCCCTGGGCAGGAATATGCATGGAGCTGTCATCTTCTATGATGGCAATGCCTTCTTCTGGAATACTTCCTGAAGGCCCTGTATTCTTAATAAGAAGGAGTACCCTCTACAATAATGATAAATAGTAAATACATAAATCCATAATACAGTCATTTATCATCAAGTATTATGCTACTGTTCACAATTGTATGTGCTATAATTCTATATGACTGGCAATGCAGTAGGCTTGTTTATACCAACATCACCACAAACATGTCAGTAATGCATTGAGCTTATGACATGACAGCTGCAATGTCATCAGGTGATAGAAATTTTTCAACTCCATTGTAATCTTATTGGACCACCATTACATATGCAATCCATCACTGACCAAAACATCATTATGTGGTACACGACTATATTTTATTGCAAAACTTGGGTCTTAGGGTCTCCATCTGGTAGAGGATTGAGTAAGGAGTGAGAGCTGGAGACCTGGTTATGAGAAATGAGCCATGAATAATGAAAAGGAGGGAGATGCAGTTATAGAGATTTAGTATTTTTCCTCCCTTTCCGTCACCCTGAGGCTCAGAGTAAAAATAATCCCAAACTTGTGCATCTGAGAAGGCAAGAGATTGGCAAGGGTAGACTTTGTCCAGTCCTCTTGAGGTCTAAGCAATGAGCCTCTGTTGTTTTGCTTACAGAGATTCCTCTTCTTCCTGCTTTGGGAACAGTACTTCCCTTTGGAGTCTGGGTGAGTCCCACCTCCTTGTCTCTTGGTCCACAAGGTTTAGGTGCTGCTGAGTGAATCTAGCAGGGTAGACACATGACCCAGACATGGCCATCTGGTTTGTTCCACTTTTAGATTATGGTGATCATAACCAAGTAGGCCTGATCAGAACTACTACAGGGACTTCATAGCAACTGCGAAAGAGGTGCTGGCTTTCAACTGGACTTTTTGAAACTGCCAGAGGGGGCCTCGTGGAGAAGACCTACCTCCAAGAGGAGATTGGCGCCAAGAAAATTAGACCCAGGCGGATTGAACGCATGTTTGAGCCCTTGAACCCAGGCATACCTGAAGTTACATTTGCCATTTGGACTTTATGGTAATATGAGCCAATAAATTCCTTCATTCCACCGGAGTAGCATTCCTCTGTTCACTGTTTATTGCTAGGCAAAAAGTGAAGTATGAAAAAAGTATTTTTAAAGGACGGTGAATGAAAGAATCTGTGATCTCATCTGTAAGGAGTGGAAAAGATGTGCTAATGTATTTTTACTTGGGCTTCATAATACAGTGTTTAAATTCCAGAAGAATCTTAGTAAGTCCTATAATATGCTACAGGTATATAAGGATTAATATAGCTCTTGTGTGTTGTCCTATAACCAATTAACAACCGAACTTTGGAAATACAACCTGGTCCATCTGTCAGGACTTACCTTCATTGAAAAAGAGTCATTGACAAGACTACATCAATTCTGACTACCATAAAATTCTTCCCAATGTCCTTCCAGCAAAAACTGGTGAGCAGAACCTAAAGTTATAAACCAAATATTTCCTAAACATTAGGTTGTCCATATTTAAAGATGTGAGAGACATTAGACATAAAGAACTTTTTATTTTACCACTCATAGAAAAGGGTACATTGAACATGTGCATAACCAGGGTGAATATTTTCGTTGAAAATGAAAACATGTCACTTTTTAAATTCAGAAATAACAATTTTTTAATGGTAAAAGTTTCCTTAACCAGAATTTTGTATTTTCAATGGAGATGAAAACCTAAGCTAATTTGTTTCTTCAAGAATAAGAATTTTTTAATGACAATGACTTCTACCTGTGGGATCATAAACAAATGTAAGCATACTGTCCTTAGGAAAACAAAATATATATATAGAGAGAGTTTAAATAATTTCTGTAAAATCTCCAGAATTTCCCAAACTCTGTTCTTTGGAGCCATTAGCAGGTGCCACACACACACACACACACACTCCTGTAGCCAAAGGAGACTGGGAAACATTACACTCAATCACATTAGTATAATTTAGAATGTGACAAGTCTTGCAGTAGAGATACCTGTTCAAATCTGTTTAGCTCAGCATTTCCCAAAGCTAACTTTCTCAAAATTAACTACCATATAGCATTTCCCCAACCCAGCCCACCTCCAAACCTCCATTCCTCAAAGCAACTTATGCAACAGCTTGTGGAACTAGTTCCATAAAGTGAAGTTTGGGAAACACTAGTTTCGTGGTTTCTATTTACATAGATTTTGCTGTCTGAATAATATGTAAGGAATCTTGAGTGACAATTGCACCCATTTGGATATATCTTCAACTGACTCCATAATTAGAAATTTAAAATGCAAATTTTTCAAAAGCAAACTGTCTTTACCATTTATACGTGTTGCTGAAATCTATTTGGTTTTGTGTATACTCATATTACTTTCCAGTGTATCTGGTATAGGTAATAGGCTCAAAAGACCTACAAATATTGAACACAAATAGAATTAACCATGTCTAAATTTTACATATATACAGGACCTTGACAATTTTAATATGGCAGATTTACTATATACTTTTTTGAGAGGAGGAGGATATATGCCTCTTGGGAAAACCAGGATAATACAAGCTTCTTCACTTACACTCTGTTCAGACGTGTATTATGGATTCATGTTATTATGGATGCAGACATAAAGCCACTGCAATTGAGCCTCAGATGTGGCAGCAAAGAATTAAGAGATCATCACCACTTCTCTCTAAATATAATGAAAATCTAACTTTACAACACTCCTCTTAAATGAGCTTTCCTCATGCTACTTGGCTATGCATTAAATCTTGGCATACACAAAAAAATAAAAACAGGGTAATTCTAACAGTTCATTTATGTTGGCTGCTGGATTATGAAGATTAACTTCTCAGATCATTTTCCAAAGAAGTCATCAAATGTAAGTACAATTGAAAATAAAATCCTGAAAAACATTTCAATATTGATAGGAAACTGAAGACAGGATATAGTCAAGACACCACTCTTAGCTGTATAATGTCAGTGTATACCACAAAGGATTAAAAAGTTTAATTTTCTAGGGAATATAATAGAGATTTCAGCTTCAGCAAGGCATATTTTCTGGAAATAATATAATTATTCTCATGCAGAAGAACACATACAGAATGTACAGGTTAAAAACAATTTAAATTTCATTTGTGTTGAAGATATTTTAATGTGATACATTGAGTTTATTATCAATTCTCTAAAATATTCTTACCCTAGGTCTTACAGACAGCAAGGTCCTTTTCTCCAAAATCACCTGTGGCCTTTTTGTACCCTGGCAGTTTAGACACATCTTCAATCTATGTTGTAATTCAGTGCTTTGCCAAATGTGGTATGCATGTCACTGCTAATACATAAAATGATTTTAGTTGCTCCAGAAAGTATTTTCCATTTTAGTAATGAAGATGATTATTATAAGAAGAGCTACCATTTACTGAGTATTTACTACATGCTATCAAGCACAAATTCTAGTTTTACTAACTCGAATGGTCTTCACAAGACTACTATGTGGTAGCTACTTTGGAGGCACAGGGAGGCCAAGCAACTTGCACAAAATCACAGAGCTGGAAATGGGCAGAGACAAGATTCAAACCCAGGAAGATGAACTGAGAGGCCATGTGTGGTGATTGAATGGATATAATTTATTTGAAAGTAAATTGGCTTAATAAATTTTTAAGAAATGTAAGTCTGTGGATATCAAATGTAGTCATACACATTGTAGGCAAATGTCCAATCTTCAGGTAACACCACTGTAATACATAATTGTGTTGGGGGGAGGTGGGGGGGAAGCTGAATATGAAGGATCTTTATGGGCAGTGAAGTGGCTGTTAACTGGTAAATACCAGGACAGAAATGTGGGTGAAGGTATTGCTGCAGAACCCTGGAGATGAAAAGCCCCAATTTTCAACTTACCTGCTTTTGATTTTGCCCAGAATATTTTCTTGTTCCAAAAGGAAATCTTCTTACTTTTACATGTATTAAAGACATCCTACAGTAATACTTCTAGGGAAAATATAAATAATTCAAATAGATCTGAAAAAGAAAGGCCTTGATTATTGTATATTACAATTTAAGAAGAAAATTAAACTTAGGAAAAACCTGACAGTCAGATCAGAAGCATTACAGGAAGTTTCTTGATCATTTTCTCCAGAGGTTGAACCAGAATATATTTTTTAAAAGGGTAGAAGTTTAAGGTCTAGCTAGGGAATAAAGATATGTTTTGTCTGACACTTCCCAATTCAAATCCAGCATTTATCAAATGACTCTTAAGTAGCATATTCAAAAAAAAAAAAAATGCAACCAGGAGCTGGCAGCCTGAGTATATTAAGCTTTCATTATTGTAAATTTGTATTTTAAAAACCCAATATCTTTTCTGTAAATATGCAAGGGTTTCTCTGACAATTTCTCTTTTTTAAAGCCACCTCTCACTGAAACATTTTAAATAAAACTCCTATATCTAAAATGAAGTCTTGGCATTTGGGAGTTTAAAATCTCCCCAAATTCTGAGGGGGATAAAAAAGCTGCATAATTATAGCTCATCTGAGTGTAAGTCATAAAGTAATCAAAAATGTTTAAAACCAAAAAGTAACATCTTAGAGTGGCATTTTAAACAAAAAAAAGTACTTACTGGCACTTTAAAATTTTTCATGCAATTTGTTATTCATTAAATCAGAAGAAAATGTGCACTACCATTTTTTGATAAGGCAAATAACATTCAAAATTGGCATTAACACAATAGGCCATCACTACTATGTGAAAAACCAAATGCTTTAATGAGGCTATCAAGAACAAGTCGATTATTTCATTGGATACATTAATATCGATCCATAATATACAGTGCTATGGACCACACAGAAATTACTGCTGCATCCAACAGCAGGTGACTATTACTAACATTACAGTACCAAGCATCCGCAAGAGACAGTCATTTGTCATTTATCAAGAAATAGGGCTTTTTTCTACTGTTATTGACATCAACTTTTTCCCAGTGCATTTTTCAAAAATATTAATAAGTGCATTCCTTTGTGCTTTATATCTTTTAACTTCCTGTGTATTGTATTTGTTCTTATTGCTTTATTGTTTAAAAACAATCAGAAAGAATTTTGTCATCCTATATATGACCAGGTTGCTTGTATGCTTTTTGGCAAAGTCAGAAGATTTGGTATTTCCATTGCCCTACCCAGAGGCAGACGGACAATTTTGGCATTTTGGTCCCTCCATATGGAGGTCCAACCTCGAGTCACAATTCTGCACCCGAGGATAGGGGGAGTGGTGTGGATCATTTTCTCGTTACAAACGACAAGCCCAAACCACTGCCTCTTGGCTTAACTAGTCCTTAAAACGAATCCACACTCTATTTGGCAAAAAGAAATAAATAAAACCACCCCCAAGATTGCAGCATTCTCCTGGGCTTGCTCACCTGCCACCTGCAGAAATTGTCTCTTAAGGAGAAGGGGACGGGGAGGCAGGCAATGGCAAAGTCAGGAGTTGCGACAGTCAGGGTAGTGGTACAAGATGCCATACTTTCTTTCAACAAAGCTTTCTACATGGTTGCTTAACCATGGTCCTGTTCCCTTGGCCATAGGTTAGTCAACCTTGCTTTATTTTTAAAAACCCTCAAAATCAGCTAAGGAAAACTAATATCATAGCATCACGACCTTCAACTTTTGCATCCAGCGCCCGCCCCCCCATATAAATATGAAGAGAAAAATAGACAATGCTATGATTGTATCAGTGAATACTATGGTACAATTAGCTGTTCATGCAGATTTGCATCACTATTCTAGGAAAAGAGCTATACAGTTAAGGGGGTTGAAAGAATGGGAAGTAATTTTCCCTACCCCCTTAAGTAATAAAGCTATAAAACTGATAGCATCACCAATGTTTCCAAGGATTCTCATTGCCCAGCGTGCATGGGAACTATGCAGTTGATTATTTTTACCTAAACCATTCATTCACACATCTGACGATCACTCCTTCTCTATGAACCCTCCATCACCCATCACCAATTCACATTTGACATTTAAACACTTTAAAAAAAAACCCTCCTGAATAAGGTTTCCTGATGAAAGAAGTTGGCACTCTGTCACTAAAATATATTTAATATTAAAAATATCTGAAGGAAAATTGGAAGCTCTTATATTGTCTACATAGGCACCATGCTACATGTTCCTCTTGACTATAGATACCATCTTGAAACTTTCCCCTACATTACAGTTCAGTCAGTGCTAGTCCAAAAAAGACTACTGCTATATTTAAGGCACTTCATTCTGAATGGATATGCTTTATGCCACTTGCTATTCAATTGTAGGCTGCTACTGAGAAATTCCATTCAACAGCCTGGCTCATAACACTATATGGCATCTGTATAAAACATTTAGGCTTGATACATGTGACACTACTGTTATTGCATAGGACTACACAAGTAGATAATGCACTGAAACTAACTTTACAACATTGCTCCTTGTTAAAACATGGTTATCAAGTAACAGTAATTTGCCAATACAGTATTTCTTTCTTTAAAACAAAATTCAGCAACTTTGCTGAAATAAACCCCAATTAAATGACCATAATGGGCGTATTAATGCTATGGTTATCCGTCTCCAAGAATATTGCTATTTTCATACACTAAAAATAAATATGTAAGTTTATTCTTTCTAGAAAGCCTGGTTTTAACCTATTAATACTACACCTTAAAATGTGTCTAAAAACAGTTCCGGGTGAGACTGTAATGTACAAAATATTCTCAAAGCTGTCTTTTAAACACAAGACCTTGCATAAAAGTTTTCTTTCATGGGTGTACAAAGAATGCGGAAAACTACCAGTGAATTGTAAAAATATTGAAAACTTGCCATTTTAAGATGCATATTCTTACAAATTAATACAAACATATTGAAAAGAACAATGATAATAAAGAATCTGTACAAAGCAAATGAACAGTAAAACATAATTTAAAAATAAAAATAGTAAAGCCAATTAGAAATATGCTCAGTTTGGTTTTCTTATCAAAAGCAAAAATGAAAAAAAAAAAAGAGTAAAACATACTTTCAGTGCTCCTCAACATTTTACTTTGAGAGGACATTAATTTCCACTTCAAAATAAAATATATCTTACGAAAAACTGAATCACACTCATTGATGAAGAAAACTGTAACAGCACAGAATAAAAGAGAGCAAGATTAGACTTTATATGTCAGAGCCTTGGTCTAACTCCCTTCAATTTCGGTTGGTATCAGTTATGTTTTCTAACCAGATGATTCTCATGAAAAGGCTGCATTTTTTGTGTGTTTTACAGAATACAGTATTTCTTTAAGTAGTCTGCAGTATAAACACGAAACAATGCTAGAGGGGTACTGTATCTTTAAGGCAGTACCAATGAATCAATACATTTATAAAATGGAAAAGGGTTAGTATGGATTCCTTTTCCTCTTTCTTTTTTTTTTTCTTTTTGGTTGCTTTACATTCTTTCAATTAAACTTTACATTTAATTTCCAAGGAAGTCACAGGCATAAAAACCTCAAATCAAGTTTCCCCTGAATAAAAATGGACAGACATTTCTCTGATGCAAAATCCTCTTGCTCAGAAAGCTAAAGTCTGTGGAGAATTCAGTTCACAGATACTGCACACTTATTTGTACAATACTTTGGAGGCATTTGTAGTTGTAAAATAGAATATACAAGTCTGTTTCACAAAATTCTAAAAATAAAATATATCCTGGGCTATTGATAAAGCATGAAAAAAAATTTCATATTAAAGGAAAATTATCAAGAAAACCCCTTCAGGTAAATTATTAAATCTATGAATCAAGAAAGGAAGCAGTTTGTGCGAATGCAGTGCAGGGAGGATTGGCTAACAAGCATGCTCCGTCTCTTCCATGCTCATACTGCTCCTCCGGCTGCTTGTTTTGGAAGCTCCGGGGGACACTGACGAAAGGAGTGGATCAGTGACGCCAACAGGAGAAAGAGTGTCGTCCATCAGGATGTCTTCCAGTTTGGATCCCATTTTCGTGGGGACGCTATAGGCTTGGTTGGCCTCGGTCCCAGTTCCAAGGTTGTTGTTGAAGGTGATGGTGCCATCCGTGAGATCGAGAGTTGTTGTACAAGTTAGGTCTGCATGATGCTGAAGGAGGTCTTGGCTGCAGTTTTCAAGAACGGGTTCTTGCTTGATGATCCGATTCACCAAATCTGGAGAGCAGAGACCCGTGGTTGGAATAAGGGAAAGTCCATGAGCTCGAGCCTGCATTTCAAGTTCCTATAAAAAGAGTAAAGATAAAATACTGAAATAGGCAGAGCACAGAGGACTTTTAAGCCTGTAAAATCACTCTACATGATACTATAATGGTAGGTGCATGTCATTAGACATTTAGCCAAACCCACAAAATGTACAACACCAAGAGGGAATGTAAAGTATAGGCTTTAGAGGATAATGAAATGTCACTGCAGGTTCCTTGATTCTAATAAATGTGCCACTCTGGTAGGGAATGTTGATAATGGGAAGGCTGCACATGCTTGGGGGCAGGAGGTATATGGGAAATATCTGCAGCTTCATCTCAGTTTTGCTGTGAACCAAAAACTGTTCTAAAAAATAAAGTCTATTTTTAAAAATCAGATACTTTGGATGGCCAGGCGTGGTGGCTCACGCCTATAATCCTAGCACTTTGGAGGCCAAGGCGGATGGATCACCTGAGGTCAGGAGTTCAAGACCAGCCTGGCTAACATGATGAAACCCGTCTCAACTAAAAATACAAAAATTAGCTGGGCATAGTGGTGGGCTCCTGTAATCCCAGCTACTTGGGAGGCGGAGGCAGGGAGAATCGCTTGAACCCGGGAGGTGGAGGTTGCAGTGAGCTGAGATCATGCCATTACACCCCAGCCTGGGTGACAGAGCAAGACTCTGTCTCCAAAAAATAACTAACTAACTAACTAAATAAATAAATAAATAAATAAAACAAATAATTGGAAAATAATAAATCCTCAAAATAAAAGTTTTTTGTTCTTTTAAATTAATAAGTTCTGTATAACCTATAGTAGAGGTACCACTGATAGTATGTGAAATAAATTTTAGGTGTTTATAGATTTGATTATGTGTGCAAAATAGAGAGAGATGGTCTCTCACATATATTAATGTTCACACTGAGGATAAGTTGAAAAATATAAAAATGAAGTTTTAAATGTGAGCTAATAATAATATTAAGTAAAGAATAATGTATTTTCATGGTCCTTCAACTGTGCACTGAGGTCCCCACGGATGCTGCAATGAACTCACAGAGCACTGGAGATGTGCTACCTTTCAAGGGCAATGGCAATACTACCTAAGAAGTACTAAACTCAAGACAGTTCTCTTTCAGCATCAGATTGAAACGCTATATACTTTTCAACCACATTGTACCATTGCAAAGTTGAGCTTTTGGCAGTTGCCATGATTAAAGAAAAACAAGTGCTGCATGAACATCATTGTGGACTGGGAAACAAAGGTGGTGGCGTCCAATCTGATTCCAAGGCTTTAGAAGTTGTGCAGTGCCCAACAGGCACACACATCCAGTTAGTAAGTACTGTGGTTATTTAATAACAAAATAAAAATGATGTTTTCCTTTCAATTGATATGTTTTATTTTTTCAAATGGCTACCAAGTTGACAGAACCTAAATACTTAATAAGTTGTTTGGACCTAACAAAAAGAGTAGGTATTTCTTTGGGTCTAGGGAGATGGTAAAAGATTGCTAAAACCCTAACAGTGCCATAAAGTAAAAAAGTTTGGGTAGTGACAACAAAAGTTATCAAAGTTCTATGCAACTAACTAAAGTTTTAGAAGCAACATTTAACCCATCTCACCAAGGGAAAGGGGAAATATGTTTTTTAACTCAACAAGTAAGTTCTCATCTATAAGACGAACAACTTTTTTCCTTTTCTCCTCACATACATTCCTATTATTGGCTAAATTGTGTCCTGGAAAAAATTTGAATGTTGAAGTCCTAACCTGAACACCTTGGAATGTGACTGTATTTGAAGATAGGGCCTTTAAAGAGGTGATTAATTTAAAATGAGATCATACTGGTGGGCCTAAACCCAGTAGGACTGGAGTCCTTACAACAAGAGGAGGTTGGGAGAGGCACACACAGAAAGAAGACCATGTGAAAACACAGGGAGAAGACAGCCATCTACAAGCCAAGGAGAGAGTCCTCGGAAGGGACCAGCCCTGCTGACAACTTGATCTTGGACAACCAACCTCCAGAATTGTGAGAAAATAACTACTGTTTCCCACCCAGTCAGTGTCACTTCACTACAGCAGCACTAGCTGACGAACACACTTCCTAAATGCCATTGAGTCCCACTGTATCTCATGGCAAAATGCCTTCCAGACAAGCTCTTTCCCTTTTTCCTTTCTGAGTATCCCTGGGCATTCCTAAAATGAACCATAGAGACTATAATTGAGTCCTGATAAACATTCTGCTTCTCCATTCAAATGCTATCCCTTCCATGATTGTGAAACAATAACATATAGCAATAGAATATAAATTCAAAGCAAGTCAACTTTCCTTATCAGGGAGGAGAAGGACTCTCCACATGACATGGCCTTTCAACCTTTGCCCACAAGCTGAGAAACATATGTGCCTGAAAAGCCACATTCAGTCTAAATTCAAGGTTTTGGGGTCTGCAAAATCCTTTTTTGGATGCAATTATGAGTAAAAGCCAGGAGCTTGAGATGTCACACAAGTATCTTCAAGTTCCTTTACATAATCTCCAGAAACATAAGTTTCTTCAGGCATTATTTTAAAGCCCTGGGCTATTTAATACCATGGCAGTTCCACTGATATTAGGGCGTCATGCTCTTTCTTCTGTGAAAACTTTTGTGTAAATCACTTAGAGTGAAAATGAAAGAAAGCCCTTAGGCCCAGGCTGAAAACATGGACTCCTGTAAATCTACAGCACATGCTAGTAAGAACAGCACCTCCACACATGCAGATTGTCTTTTCAGAAAAAGAATAATAAAGTTGGATTAAGAGAGGCAAACATCTCACTCTAATCCTTTGTTGTTTAATTAAAAATATTTATTAGTTGATTAAAGCATTACTCAGATTTCTAAATAAGGTGATAAATATCATCTAGAGAACTCTGGCTTTATTGCATCGCAGAGCTTTCCTAATTAATAATGTTTTCTGTGATATGCAAAAGTTCTAAAGGCTGCCTCACACCGTCATTGGAAGAAAACCAAGAGAGCGTCACCATGGAATTTCCAATGCACATATTTCACAATATTCGTATTTCATATGAATATACATGTTTGGAGCCCTAAAATAAAACAAAACCTAGTTTCTCTTTCAAAACAGTTATTATATTTTAATACTTGTAAAAGGAAATGACACATTAGTACAAGCTGCTTTTTTTTTTTTTTTTTCTGAGACACAGTCTTGCTCTGTTGCCCAGGCTGGAGCGCAATGGTGCAATCTCGTCTCACTGCAACCTCTACCTCCTAGGTTCAAGTGATTCTCCTGCCTCAGCCTCCCAAGCAGCTGGGATTACAGGCATCTGCCACCAGACCCAGCTAATTTTTTTGTTTTTAGTAGAGACGGGGTTTCACCATGTTGGCCAGACTGGTCTCAAACTCCGGACCTTGTGATCCACCTGCCTCAGCCTCCCAAAGCACTGGGATTACAGGTGTGAGCCGCCGTGCCTGGCCACAAGCTGCTTTTATAAATGGGTAGACTATGTTCAAGAGACTAAATACCTTCGGCTACTTATTGAAGAGACAGAACTTAAAACCAACAAATGAAGCCAAAGTAGAGGAGGGGAGGGGAAAGTAAGACTTTCAAATTACACACAACCTCTACTTCACTACCCAGAGTCTAAATGCACCCCTATGGAGGAGTGGCTTCCCACCTCCCCGCCCCACAGCCGAGGAATCGCTGCAGTGAATGAGAGATGTGGTATCTCAAAATATAAGCATTCAGAAGACTGGAGACCATTATTACAAATGAATTGCTCTGTTCGAAAAGTTCAACTTCCAAGAGGAACACCACTAAGTGAAACACAATGGTATCTAGGATGTCATATTTCTCATTGCTGTTACATAAAATAGCTCCATGAATAGTTGCACTGAAAAGTTGAAAGACAACCCTTGCTTTACGGCAAAATCTAGTAAAAGGTGTGTCAGTCTAGTCAAGAAGAAGATATAGTGTCATTAACTCTTTCAGATAGGTTGTGTTCAAAGTCAGCAAATTAAAATTACCCTCACAAACCCCATTTGGTCAATAACAGAGAGTCTGTTTTTGAGAATCATTTCAGAGGAAATAGTGTCCTTTCACTCAGCAAGAGAGGCCGAGCACCTGAGGGTAGTTCCAGGAGCTGATACTAAAGAGGAATTCCCCATCTCCTGCTTACCCTGGTGCATATACTCACTGAACGCGATGACGCACAAGTGGCACATGGTTAATAAAATTAGTATGTCTTCTTCTAAGGGCATATAGTTTAAGTTAAAGATATATATGTGACAATTCCAGCATTTATAACTATCTCCAAGAATTATGTCCTTAACATAAGATCCTGTGGGTGTCCCCAAGTTCCCTATAAACACACACTTTGACCATCGACTGCTTCCCCGACCCTGCAAATAGTAAGGCATATTCTTACTTAATGTGTATAGTCAGTGCTTATTTTTTTATGTTCTATAAAGTCACTGTGAACACTGAACTGATGAACACTGAAGCACTGTTCCTAGGGGAATTGCAGGGTTAGGTTCCTGTGAGACCCTAGTCATAACACTTAATCTTGTTTTATGTATACTTCTGTTGAAGGTAACCTTATGTAACATATGTTGTTGACTCATGAATATTAAACTCACGGCTAATAGCACTGTAACTTATACCTGAACGAAGCTTATCCAACACCTGTATTTTCTCTGTAAGGCACATCACGGCCTTCTTGCCGTCAGGAACTCTAGACAGCACTTCAGCATTATGCTTGGGGGTCACTATAAACAGCGAAATCACCAACAGAAACCACAAAAATGTAGAAAGCACTGAACAGACCATGAAAGAAGCACTTGTTTGGAGGATGAGAGTTGCAATAAAAAAGCAGTGAACCTCGGGTAGGGTCACTCGACCTCACCTGGAAATGCGTGCCATGGGCAGCTCAAACTTGCCACTCTGCACATGTCCAAGAATGACTGTGGATGTGCCACAGATACTGATTTTGGAGTTACAGGTAGGCAAATTCACAAATACAGAATCCACAAATAACAAGGTTTGACTGTCTTAGGATCATGTAAGTCAACTCCCCTACGGCTCATCGTATCCATTTTTCTCCTGTCTTGAAGCTGGTAACAAGCAGTAAACTTTACACAACTCAGGCCGTGTACCTGTATTCTGAGCAACAAATGCCGGTTGGCATGCTCCAGTTTCTTCTGTCGATTTTCAAGTTCTTTTGCGCGTTGCTGTTCTCGTTGCAACTTTCGGATATAGTCCACGGATGCTTTTAAAATGGTTCCCTTGTTCCAGCGCATGTCTCTGCGATGAAAATGAAGGAAAACAGACATTTTTAGGATTTGAGGCTCAATGAAAATTCAATATTTAAAGCATTCCATTTCTCTTTTTCTGAACATTTATTTCTTTTATTTCAATAGTTTTGGGGGAATAGTGGTGCTTGGTTACATGGATGAATTTTTTAGTGGTGTTCTGAGATTTTGGTGTACCCATCACCCAAGCCATGTGCCCTGTACCCAGAGTATAGTCTTTTATCCACCATCCACCTCCCCCTGCCCCTCTATTTCCCTCAAGTCCTCAAAGTCCATTGTATCATTTTTAAAAGCATTCAATTTTAAAGATATAATAACCAAGCCAGGCGTGGTGGCTCATGCCTGTAATCCCAGCACTTTGGGAGGCTGAGGTGGGTGGATCATGAGGTCAGAAGTTTGAGACCAGCTTGACCAACATGGTGAAACCCTGTCTCTACTAAAAATACAAAAATTAGCTGGGCAAGGTGGTGTGCGCCTGTAATCCCAGCTATTCAGGAGGCTGAGGCAGGGCAATCGCTTGAACCCAGGAGGCAGAGGTTGTGGTTAGATGAGATCGTGGCACTGCACTCCAGCCTGGTCAACAAAGTGAGACTCTGTCTCAAAAGAAAAAAAAGATAAAAATAATCATACATTAATAATAGCTACTATTCACGAGTGTTTGCCACGTGCCTAATGTTGCCCACCCCATTTGTATACATTGTCTTACTTAACCCAGACAAGCACCTTGTGAGACAGAGATTTTGTGCACATGTTGAAACACAGACAATTCAACTTGTCCTAGGCTCCACAACTACCATATAGTAGAGCCAGGACTTTAGGTCTGTTGATTACAAAGTCAGTTTTCTTAAACACTATATTAAACAGTTACCGGTTTCTAAAACTATAAAAGTTAACACACTAAAAATAAACCATGGTAAAACAGAGCTGTGAGATCTCACTACTAAATTGTTTGTGGCATAAAACTGGCATCCTTCTATTTTTTTTTTTTTATCATGAATTATCATGGGCAGGTTATCTAGCCTCTCTCTGTATCTGTTTCCTCATATACAAAATGATGATACTATACTTGTGTAAGCAGCCTAGTAAGTATGTTATTGGAATCAAAGGAGCCACTTTACACAAATGTGCTGTTGGAAAGTTAAAAACACATTCAAATAATGGAACAGGCACTGTATTAAAGGCTCAATATAGTAATGCTAATAGCTATCTTTCGATAGCATTTACTATGTGCCATTTTCAAAAATATTTTACAACTTGTATAATCAAAACAACCTTAATGAGTAGGTACTAATATGATCCCCATTTTACTGACTGGAACCTAAAGCACAGAGAGGTTAAATAATTTGCCCAAGGTCACAGAGCTAGGAAGTGGCAGAGCTAGGAAGTGGCAGAGCCAGGAAGTCTCAGGACTCTGGCTCTCAACTCCCTGCTCTAAACCACTGTATCATACTTCCTTTCACGTGATTGAGTCCTCAAAGCAACTAGGCTAGGTAAGAAGACTTTGATGTCCCCTTTTTTAACAGATGAGAAAAATGAAGCACAAGAATGCAAGTATCTTCCCCGAAGTTAGATACTTAGTAAGAAACTGTTTTGGAATTCTAAGCCAGGAAGCCCAAAGTGATGTCTCTCAGCTCTTAATCAGTAGAGCTTCAATAAACTTGTATATGAGAGAATTAAGAACACCATTAATACGCAGGTAAAAGTACTTTAAAAAAAATAAGAGAGCACTCCAGAAAAAAAATAATGAACTATAATTACATAAGTAATATTTCTATATTGCTTTAAATTATCTGAATCCTTTTATAGACAATATACATCATAATGATGACAAGCATGATGATGAAAACAAAAACAATGTGATGTATGGAGAACCATCCAACCCATAAAACCAGATTGGAAGTATCAGGTGGAACTGATGAGTGGAGGGTCATTATATAAACAAGTCACTAAACAATTGATCCTCATATGAGTTACATTAAGAACAAAACAGACGTTCTCCCATGAGAGGGACAGTTGCAGGCCCCAGAGAATTCCCTGGGGTTGATCCCTGGAGTCTGAACACCAAAGATGGCAACCCAGGCAAACGTCCTGAGATATCCGAAGTTAGCACAGACACTTAATATTCAGAGCAAAGATCAAAGTAAGAGAAGTAACTTTGGCAGCTAGAGAGAAATGTAATTAAAATAAATGATGTTTCACATAGGCTAGCAAGATGAGAAATCAAAATTGGGATATTTGAGCAGTCACTCAGTTTAAAAGACATGATTGTTTCAACCAGTTATCTTGGGTTTTGCTTCCTTGTGAGATCCAATCAATCAATTATGCTTCTGAGTTTAAGAAAGGGTTTTCAAACTTTTTTTGCTCGGTAATAAGAGGGACTCTTTTTTCATAGAATAGTATACACAGGTCTCCATTACATAAGATCAGAAAAGCAGACTTGCTCTGGTGGGAGAAAAGGTATAGGGCTGAGACCCCAGTCTGTAAGACTGTGTCTCTATAGCAGCCCCAAGGTACATTATAGAAACCTGGTGTGGGTTTAGATTATAGTCAGTTTTATCTTAAAACAATGCCTACAATTAAAGATCATTATCAGTTCAGATTATAAACACATAAGTATTCTAATACAATGGGGAAAGAAGATATGCAAATAGAGGCTTTCACTACAGCCCCATAGTCTCATAATATGTTGCTAAAGAGATTCACATGCTACAGTTTAAAAGAATATGCTAAAAAGTGAAAGCTGATAAAGAACAGGAAAATGGGAATTCAATTTCAACTATCATGCAAGACTGACTATAGGAAATGAAGGTCACAGCCCTTTAGTAGGATAAATTTGTGCTGCAGAACTGAGAATTTGAAATGTTTCGGGTTTGAAAAAGCCTTTCCTTGAAACCTGGGAAAGCAAAACGTTGAAGATGAAATTGTACGTGTACATTCATGAAAATCACCTCACAATAGGTAATGGTTTTATTTTGTTACAAATTCTCTAACAATAATGTGAATAGCAAATTTAATAAGGCTTGCATGAATAATACTTGATTTTATCTTTACATTTTATTAGGTAGCTAAAAGGTCATATTCAAAGGCTAATTTCATAGAATGCCTGTGGGGGCCATTAAAATGTATACATTTTCTAGCCCCTTGCTTCAAATGGGCCAAGTTCTTATGGATAAAAACTGTGTGTTTGTTGTCCTATCTGCTGATGTTGCAGGTAACTATAGGCTGTTAAGAAAGACTTGAGAAAATTATCTTCACAGCTGGTATCTCTGAAAGGGGCAGGGTAGGTAAAGAGAAACCACAAGCTGAAATCCAAATTAGCTGACCTGTACTTAATAGGAGGATTAAAACATTACTTTCTTCCCCTTGAATGGTAAAACATACAAAGAGTAGGCAAGTTTTCATAAAAACAATTGACCTTTTTTGTCTGTTGCATATCATTAAACTTGAAGTCTCTAATGTCTGTTCATCAGTGCCTATTTAGAGATACTGTACAAGTCAAAGAGGAAACAGTCAACAAATCTAGCTTTAACAGCTATTGAAAGCACTGTACTTCATGAACCATTAAAGGAATTCTTTTTTTAAGCTCAGTATTTGTTTGCAAAGAATTCTTAGGTTTCAGAAAGACACAACCAAAGCATCTAGGGTTTAACAGTCCTTTTGCACAGTTCAATGCTTTTGTCTTGAAATTTTAGTTTGATGAGACTAACCTCAAGAAAGGTGTAAGAAGAATTCAGGAACAGAACCAAAGGGAGAAGGGGAGACTTCTTAACTTTAGTTTTTACAACCGCATTTTTTACAACATACGAAAAAATATTCAGATATGAAAAATATATGATGCAGATTAACATGCAATTGTACTCACGGATCATTTGACTTGGGAATCAAAGTACCTAGTTCTTTAATGCGGTCATTTATGTTAAATCTTCTTCTTCGCTCAACTTCAAGAAAAGAGCACAGGAAAGGGCTATTAGTAACAGTGCCATGTATGCATTTAGCATATCTCATCAAAGGCATATGTATATTAACTTCACCAGGTCAGGACAATGGAAACCTGAACCAATTTTATCCCTATTTTTAACCATGTTTTTGGTATTGCAGTTAAAAATAAGCGACCTTTCTTATACATGTGATTTCTCATTTGCTCTTTTAACAACCCTGAAATCAGTTATTATCCTCAGTTACAAATAATGAAATTGCCTTGGAGATACTGTTATTAGGGACTTGGCGAGGACATCCAGCAATACTTGGTGAACAGCCCAAACTCTAACCTAACCCTGTAGAACAGAAGTCAGCAAACTTTCTGCAAAGATCAGGAAGTTAGCACTCTGGCTTTGTGGGATAAGTAGCAAAATTTAGAATATTATACAGGTATTTACTTAACTGGAGGGAAAACAAATTTCCACAAATTTTTTTCTGACAAAATTCAAAATATAATAATTGAGTAGAATTTTTTACAAGGCAAATCTACTCATGAAAAGCATTAGAATTTACTTGTCATGCTGAAATTTACATTGCATATAATTTTCATATAACAACATATTTTTTTTAGCCTGATTGGTTGATTGATTGAGACAGAGTCTCGCTCTGTTACCCAGGATGGAGTGCAGTGGCATGATCTGGGCTCACTGTGACCCTTACCTCCTGGGTTCATGCGATTCTTGTGCCTCAGCCTCCTGAGTAGCTGGGACTACAAGCACATGCCACCATGCCTGGCTAATTTTTGTATTTTTAGTAGAGAAGGGGCTTTCACTATGTTGGCCAGGCTGGTCTTGAGCTCCTGACCTCAAGTGATCCGCCCTTCTTGACCTCCCAAAGTGCTGAGATTACAGGCGTGAGCCACCGCGCATGGCCTTTTTTTAACAATTTAAAAACGTAAAAAGCATTCTTAACTCATGGGCCACACAAAAAAACCTATGTGCTACCTAACAGAAACATAATTTCTAGCCTAGTGCTACCCAACAGAAATATAATATAATTTGCGTATGTAAGTTTAAGTTTTCTAGTAGTCCTATTTAAAAAGTAGAGAAAGAGATGAAATTAACATTTTATTAAACCAATTATGTCCAAAATATTATTATTTTAACAGGCAATCAATATAAACATTTACAAATTAAATATTTAACATTATTTTCTTCATTCTAAGTTTTTGGAATCCAGGGCGCATTTTACACTTTCAATTTTACATCGCAATTTGGACCAGCCATATTTCAAGGCTGAGTATGCATCGGTGGTGAATGGCTACTGTATGGGATAGCACAGCCCTAGAACTGAAGTCTAGCATTTTTAGCTATACCAGGCATCTTCATAGCATTCCTATTTTATGAATCTAGGTGTAAGTTCAACTATCATCTTCTTAGGGGAGGATGACCTAATAAGGCACATGAAATGATAAATGTCTCTAATTAATGTAGTCAAGCAAATAAATTCCTAATAATTTGTAGTCTAAGAAATTGGATTAAAACTATTAGTATTTACTCTAAATACTGTAATATATGCTTCTTCTGGATCCACTAACATTCTGTACACTAAGATAAATAATGTTATTTCCTGCTTTCCCAATATAAATGGCAGTTTCTTTGGCTGAGAGATTATTCCAATGATGAAATCCGTTTTATATAATACTAAGTCCTACCATTAGACTTTAATAAAATAGATACCCTAAGTGAAGTTCGATGATTTTGAAGAAGGAATTGTGGGGTCCTTGATCCACTAGCTGACCTTCCCCAAAACTCTGAAGTATGACACTTTCTTCTTCTTTTTTTCCAAGCACATAATAAGCATAAAATTCCTCTAGCCCCTCTGGTTCCTTGCTATTTCTCAAGCAAGCCAGACATGTCCCATTGGAGGACTTCATACAGCTGTTCTACCTGCCTGGAACATTCAGCCTCCAGATATGTGAATGGCACTGCCCTCACTTCCCTCAGGTAGACTCAGGTTACCTATGAGACTTTCTGGTCACCCTCTTTGAAACTGATCCACCACCTCCTATGCTCATGCTGACACTATACTCCCTTGCCTGTCTTTTGACTTCACATGGAACTTTCTGCCATCCCATATTCACATATCCCATTTATCTATTTCTTATGTTTATTCGCTGGTGCATTCCAAGCAACTGTGTGTCTGGCAGATAGTAGGCCCTCAACGAATACGTGTTAAATAAGAAACAAAACATTTAAAATGGAATCATACTAAAAATGACTCTGCATCTATCTTTTTTTTCACTCACCAGCATATAGCTGACATCTTTCACTGTCAATATTTAGGTGTACTACATTTTATTTTTAGTTCAGTGACTTCCCTTTCCAACCACTTATTAGAAAGATGATATAAGATAGTAAGAAAATTCAAAAAATACAAAGGTGTATTAAGGAAAAAGTAAAAGCCAAGTCTTTGTACCATTCAACATCTATATGCCTGGGTAAATTGTCACTGATAAGGGTGATCTCTAGATCGTCTCCCATGCACATACACATCCACATAAACATACACACAAGCACGTCTCTCCCCAGTGTGTTCTTTTTACACATTGGGATATTACAGATATTATTCTACCCCTTGCTCATCTCACTCAGTAATACATGGTAGATGACCCCTAACTCAAAGGTAAGCTTCTCAGGATGGGAAACTCATCTTCTGGTTCACATCATACAAAACAACAGCTCAACATATATTAATGGCTGAATGGAGTGAATAAATGAATGAGTGAATAGTTGGATATATCCTTTTATACATTTTGGCAAGTATTCTTACAAAATAAATTCCTAGAAGAGACACAGCTAGACCAAGGAGCAATCTAACCCTCAGTATTAATTCCCAGTGGTTGGGTGATACTTTTAGATTGCTTCATAGCCTTCAGAGTTTGAGTGGATCATGTTTGCACTTTACTGACAACCTTAACCTTGAGAGTTCAGGTGCCTAATTATAGGTATCTATTGTTTTTCATAAGATTCAACTCGGTTTTCCACATCTCACTTAAGTAGTTTTGGATAATGCCTAATTATTTTGTTTCTAAAGTGTTTTAAAGGAATTAATATCTTGGGGTAAAATTACTTAGAAGCTGGAGGAGGCCTTCAAGATAATAGTTTATATCTTTTGGTGAAAAGATAAGGAAAACTTCTTACACCTGACATGAGAACTGGGGAGGGGCGTAGCTCTTAAAGTGAAAACCAGCACCCTCAGGACCCAGCAGTTCTATTTGTCAGTTCCATTTCTAACATAGAGAAACAAACTTTCTTGTACACAAAGACACATATAAAAATGTTCACTGTGGCATTGTATATAATAGGAAAAAACTAGAAACAACATAAACACACAGAAGTTGGGAAGTTACTAAATACCATACAGTCACACTGTAAAATACTATACAATTTGTTTTCAAAAGGTAGATAGATCCAGATTTCTAACAGCAAAAGGTTTTCAAAACATACTGTTCAGTAGAAAAAAAAAATCAACATAAAATGGACAACATAATACAGTCTGTGTTAAAACATATAGAAATACATATTATTTCTTTTCTGTGTGCATGTGTCTATATTCTTAACATATAGAAAAAGGTCAGGAAGAGCAATGCCTAATTGAAACCAACATGCATATTCCTGGGAACTAAAGGAGAACTCTGGCCTTATTGTGTTATTTTTATAAGGAGAAAGTGTTTGTATATGACTCACATTCTTAAAAATCAATTTAAAAAACAGAGGATATGAGGCCATGAGATGAGAAATTCACACACAAAATATTTCCCACCTGCAAGCCCAATCCTCCCCCTTTTTTAAATCAGTGCAACTTTGTCTTACTTGTTTATAGTAAACAAAAATTGAAGTATTCATAGGAAACAACGTCAAGAATTGATCAAGGGTAAATTGAACACATAAAAATAGTTTAAATGCTTTAGGACTTTTGTTTTTAAAGTCACGAATAACATCAGAAATTTAGGAGGCTACCTCATGCATTTACTCCCCTCTTCAGATCTGTTTCTTTTTTTTCTTTCAGATCTCACTGGAGAAGGTGCTCCCCAAATCCCCTTTTGTTAATAAGTTCCAGTGTGAGCGATACTTATAATTGGGAAGTTGGGGATCAATTCTCCCTTTCAGGAAAAAAAAAAAAAAACAGAGAGAGAAACCCCACACTATAAACAAAATAAATAAATAAATAAAAACTCTTCAGAAATTGAAAATAAGTATATATACAAAATTTAATTTGATCTGAGATAAAATATGGGGAAAATATATAGCTTGGTTTCTGTAAAATACAATTTTCTTCCATAAGAGATAATTCTAACAGCTGTAGAAATTAACTTTCCTCCACAGAATTTCTGGAAACATTTTTCATACATGGGGGAACATTAACTCTAATATCAAACATCAAGAACATAAATAAAACCAACTTACTCAAGTTGTGATTGTCCTTTTTCTGCCTCTCTTTGGCCAGTGCTCTTGCTTCAGACTCTGTGGGAAAAATACACGCTGTGCACGTGAATGAAGTCATTAGAAGTTGGAACTGTTCAAGGTTGCACAAAATGTAAACTACAAAATATCTCATTTCCCAACATATGGAAGCTTATCTGACTTGACTCTAAGTAAAAATATGTTTTTTTTTAAAAGATATCTTTTAAAAAACTTGCACTTCTTCAAAAGCAATATATATATCAAATATACAGTAGGCAAAAACTGCCCTTCCACAAAATGTTAAAAACCCAGTAAAAACGATCTGTGGCACGCTGTAAACATATACAGATACTAGCAAGAAAGACATCGACAATTAGAAAACTATGTCAATTTGCTGTTGATACAGGAGTCTGATATGTTTTGTTTTCAGGCCATAGAACCTTTCAGTCCTTTTTTTTTTTTTTTTTTTTTTTTTTTTTTTTTTTTTTTTTTTTTTTTTTTTTTTTTTTTTTTTTTTTTTT